ACAGTGGACTCTCGCCAATTGGCGAAAGTCACCAGGGTATATTGGCGAAAGTACACTGGACTTTCGCCATTGGCGAATGTCCTGTTGGCGAAAGTCTTATTGGCGAAATTCGGGAATCCCATGTTTACTGGCCTTAATCTAATATATATATTGAAAGAGATCAATGTACAACTTCAAGATTTGAAAACAAAAGGATTTGAATGAGAAAGCTGCGAAAAGTGTTGCTAGAATGTTCTTTTAATTGCCGATGTATTTTAACAGGTTTTTCCCGATAGCAGTACATCCAAGAGCTTTTAGACTGAGGACTCCAAGGTTCCATAGGATTACCAGAGATTCTTTGAAATTCCAGACTTCCGTGCTTTTCTCCTTGGATTTCTATCACTGAAAATCAGTTTTTATCTGATCCCCATGAATCAATAGGAATCACCGAAAACACTAATAAATGAAAAAAATCACAAAAAATCGTTAGAAATCAACAGCGATCACCAAGACTATAGGCAATTAATGAAAATCAAGAAAATCAATAAAAATCATTAGAAATCAATAGAAACCACGGCTTTACTATTAATCTTATTAGTGGAGATTTTCTAGGATTTAATGATTTCCATTGATTTCTAATGATCTCTCATGGTTTCTAATGATTTCGGATGGTTTCCGATAATTTTTAACCGCTGTCAGTCATTATTTATATCCTCAAGGTTTTAAAAGGATTTCTGGTGACTTCTGGTGATTGTCAGTGATTTCTAATGATTTCCAGAATAGAAATCAGTTAGTTCCTCCAGACTTTTTCATAACAATTTTCTAAACGCATAATGACGATATTATTGATTCATGTTTGATAGGGTGTGAAAAGATCGTCCGTGTCAAATGCATGCAACTGTGGCGGAGATTATCTTCCATCAAGGCTGCACTACTCTTATTAATACTGACACTAAGCAAGAGGAAACAAACTGATTTCTGTGCTAGAAATCATTAAAAATCACTGGAAATCACTGGAAATCACTAGAAATCATTTTAACGCGGTAAGTACCGAGGTCGAAACTCAACGACCGTAAACGACAGTTTCCAATGGAACACGGCGTATTTGGTATGCACTGTATTACGGCCGTAATTAGATGCCGCGTAAACGGTCGCATACAGTCGTATACTCTAGCGGCGGCGCCAGGAATTTAGACTTGGGTGGGCTTAGACTCTCTGATTTTTTCTCAGGGTGGGCTCCACCTACTCAGTTTTAAAAGAGTAAAAAATGTAATGAGACCTTTATCGAAGTTTTTGACTTATTAGAAATGCTTCTTGTACCATAATAAATGTATCCTTCGTACCAGCTTATAGAGAGCTTGAATATTTATTTTAAAAATATGCGATAAGATAATTTAATACAATAAAACTGCTATTCTTATGATTTCATGCAAATTTATCTATTATCCATTCATAATCTATAGAAATATCACGTTCAACAGGCAAGACAGTCAAATCACTTAAGGGGGTCCCCCCTCAGAAACGAACTTTGCTATTTTTCATGCGACTTCAACCAAAATTTCACAGAATGTTAGTCTCGACTAGAATAGCTTATGGTTAAAATATCTTCCTTTAATCTCAAAGAAATGCACAAGTTCTAGTCAATTCATTATCCTTTACGCGGGCAAGGATTTCGTAATAAGGATACGAACTAACAAGTCCGGGTAGTTTTCAGGTTGTAGAGTGCCCTAAGGGCTAGGTCATAATAGAGCCCGATTTTTGAGTTTTCCTTTGTTTGATTTTCAAAAAGCCTTTTTCGCAAAATTCATGAAATCATGTACAACACCATTGCTAACAAAAATGAAATATCTAAGTTTTTTATTTCACGAAAAGAGAAATTCAAAAATTGGACTCTATTACGACCCAGCCTTTGCTGTCCTCTATTCAACAAAAAAAATTATCCCCTATCTATTGAGTCGTTATTGAAAAAATCCTTGCCCGCGTAAGTGGCATGCTCGAAAAAATTGATTTTGAGAAAAATGAAGAATAAGTATTAGAAATCGGTTTTTCTGAAAATCATCTGATTTATATATCAATGTCTAAAGACAGGCTATAAATTTGTGATTTTAATATTAAATATTCATAGTCTCTTAGTGATTAGTATAGAAAAACGCTTTAGAAAATGCTGATGTAAAGAGAAACCAGCCCAAAAAGTCGAAAAAGCTTGGAAAAATTCTATGAAAATTTTTCGTAAAATATGACAGGAGGAGCCAAGTTTTAGATGACAAGTTCGTCTAAATCAATTCATTTTTCGATAAACCATAGATATTCTGAAAGAGGAGACTTCGATGCATCTTCCTATGATAAAAGTTCAATGTCGACTAGTCTTCGAAAAATTGGATTTTCTGAGAGGGCCCCCCTTAAGCGTTTATCAGACATTGAATTCCGAAGATAGTTCTTGATTATTTTCATCTTCGAGAATGACCTTTCGCAAGTGACTTGTGAAATAGGCATTGTAATTGCACTTTGGATCATTCGTAATGTTTGTGGAAATGCAGCTGAGAATAGAATTAATTCGTTCAAAAACTGAATAACATTATTCATTGTTTTGGACATGAGCACAGGTTTTATAAGGATGTGGGTGTTGGTGTGGGTGTGGAGTGTGAATGGGTGTCGGTGTGGGTGGGAGTACACTGTATCTCTTTATCTAAACCCACACCCACACCCTGTGGAGCTAATATCCGATATACCTTGAATATCGGAAGATGAAGAAGGAAGATTTTGTAAATGAGATGATAAATTAATAATATCGAGTTCTATTTCTTGTTGGTTGGGGTACTTTTTCTAAACGAACGAAAGAAAAATTCGATCGTTTTATGTTGTTCAGGCTGCATGGTATTACCAGAGAATGTTTTACGCTAAATCTTTTTCACTTCGTTTTCAATAATTAGCCAATAAAAAAATAGAAAAAAGCCTTCTTAATAATGGTATGTTGTAACATCTCTCGAATAAAAGATTATTAGGTTTGTGCGTTAAAAGCGCTTCTTAGTGTTCTCAACAAATTTTTGGGTGGGCTCAAAAATTTTTTGGGTGGGCTCAGCCCACCCCCGCCCACCTGTGGCGCCGCCACTAGTATACTCATTTTTCCGATGCAGCCCATGTCAAAGAATCTTACTGTAAGATCCTTGTACGATTTCGTCGGATTTTAGTAAGATTCTTATAAGAACTCGTAAGATTCTGTAAGAAACATAAAGGCTGATTCTTAATGTAAGATCTCATAGTAAGATTTTATAAAATTTCATAAGATTCTTGTATGATTTTTGTAAGATGAGACAGACTCTATGATCTTATTGTAAGATTTCATAAGATGCATAAGATTTTTGGAAGATTTTATAAAATTGTTTGACCTGGGTTGTGGTGACCGTTATCAATCGTAAACGGTACGGTCATAATACGGCCGTAATAGGGTGCATACCAAACGATAAATTACGGCTATTTACGACCGAAAACTGTGAAAAACGATGATATACGATATCGTTTACAGTCGTTTTTAGTCATTGTAATGCTCGACCTGGGTATATAAATGATGACTGTAAGTGGCTAAAAATCATTAGGAGTCAATAGAAAACATGAGAAATCAATGGAAGTCACTAAATCACAGAAAATATCCAGTAATAAGATTAATAATAAAGCCCCGGTTTCTAATGATTTTTCTTGATTCGCTTGATTTTCAATAATTGCCAGCATTCGTAGTCGTAGCTCTTGATTTATTTTGATTCGCGGTGAACAGTCGAAAACTGATATCCAGTGATAGAAACCACTGATAATCACCAGACATCACGAGAAATCATTAGAAATGAAATAAATAAAGAAATCAGTTCGTTCCCCCTTGAATCAAGGAGAAACGAACTGATTTCTTGATTTTCTTTGATTTCTAGTGATTTCTATCACTGGAAATCAGTTCTTTAATGTTCATCGTGAATCAATAGAAATCATTGGAAATGCTTAGAAATGAAGGGAAATCATTAGCAATCAAGAGCAACTACTAGGGATATTGACAATTATTCAAAATCAAGAAAATCAAAAAAATCATTAGAAATCAATAGCAATCAAGACTCTATTTTTAATTGTTCTAGTGAAGATTTTCAATAATTAAAAGTAATTTTTAGTGATTTTTAGTGATTTCTCGTGGTTTCTAATGGCTTCTGAGGGTTTCCGATAATTTTTAACAATCTCCAGTCACTATTTGAATCCTTAAGGTTTTAAAGTGATTTCTAGTGATGTCTAGCATAGAAAGCAGTTTGTTCTCCCTCGCCATGAACGACATAAACAAAATTGAAAATCTGATTGCTATCAGAAATCATGAGAAATCAGTAGAAATCACTGGAAATCATGGAAATCACCAGAAATCATGGAAATCACTAGAAATCATGGAAATCACTAGAAATCAGGAAATCAAGAAATCAGTTTGTTCCCCCTTGGACTCATGCAAAAACATTAGAAGAGCAGACTACAGACATCTCTAAACTTATACCAGGTAGTATAGTAATGGATCGAGCCTCATTTACATGGAGTTCCATTCAATCTGCTCAACTAACTGAAATAGATTTGAATTGAAATGCTGGTTCATTAGCTGGTGTTGTAGGAGCAATAGGATCGGGTAAATCATCTCTGTTGGCAGCAATACTAGGTGAAATGTCTCTTGTTCAAGGTAGTAGTAAGATATATGGTAAAATTGCATATGTATCTCAAATATCATCGATATTTTCTGGTACGATACGCGAAAACATATTGTTTTGCAAAGACTTTGATAAAGAAAAATATGAGCGTGTGTTGCAATCATATTGTTTAATTACTGATTTACAATCATTTCCAGCTGGGGATTCAACAATCATAGGAGAAAAAGGAGTAAATTTGAGTGGAGGACAAAAAGCTCGTGTTTCACTTGCTCGAGCTTTATATACTGAAGCCGATATTTATTTGTTTGATGATCCTTTAGCAGTTGTTGATCCTACAATTGCTAGAAAAATTTTCCAGCAGTGCATTAGTAATCAAGGTATTTTAAATGATAAAACACGCTTGTTAGTTACACATCAAATACAATTTTTATCCGAATTTGATCATTGTATTTTATTAGATCATGGTAAAATAGAAAAACAAGGTTTATTTAATGAATTACTGACAATAGATAAAGTTAAACAAAACTACGAAAATCAACAAAAACATACAAACGAAACAGAAAAAAACCAAACTCAAAATTATAATAGTGTTTATGATAATGATAATGATTCTATGAAACCATCGGAAACTATTGATAAAACTAGTATTGTCATAGACGAAACATCTGTTGGTGGAAAGGTTAGTGTTTATATTTGGTTTAGATTATTTACCGCTAGTTATGGCTGGACTGGATTCATAGTATTGATTTTTTTAATGTTGTTGGGTCAAGGTATATATGATGCAACTAACAAATGGTTAAGTATATGGTCGTCAAAATTAGAAGTAGTGCAACGCGAAAGTCACTATTTATATGTATACTTAGGACTAGTAATAGGCACATGGCTAATGGCAATAATTCGTGCTGATTACTTTTTCCATATTATATTACGTGGAGCATCTGTATTTCACGATTGTATGTTGAAAGGTGTTTTATACAGTTCATTGAGATTTTATGAGAGTAATCCAGTTGGTCGTATATTAAATAGATTTAGTAAAGATCAACAAGTTATCGATGAATTATTGCCAGTCACATTTTTTGATACAATTCAATCACTAACCATGGTATTAGGTAGTATTGTTATTATTGGTATCTCAAATCCATGGGCATTATTGATATTGATAATCATTATCCCAATGCTTCTTTGGTTAAGAAGAATCTATGTAAGAACAAGTAGAGAAATAAAACGATTAGAAAGTGTAAGTCGAAGTCCAATTTATGCATTATTTTCCTCATCATTAAGCGGACTAATGACTATTAGAACATTCGAAGTAGAAAATCATTTCCTCAATTCATTTATCTACAAAAATAATACAAATACGCGTGCACTTTTCATATTCATTGCTTTGACTAGATGGTTTGGTTTAAGATTAGACCTAATGACATGTTCCATAACGTTTTTGACAGCAATCTTATCGATAACCTTACGTCAGAATATGGATGCTTCGTCTGTAGCATTGGGTTTGGCATATGCTATAAACTTATTAGATCTTTTTCAAGGAGGAGTACGTCAGTCGGCTGCAACTGAAAATTATATGATTAGTACTGAGAGAATCGATGAATATTCTCATATTCCTCCAGAATCAGGATTTTACAAAGAAGAATTAGAAAAACCATCTAATTGGCCAACAGAAGGAAGAATCGAATTCGACGATTATAAATTAAGCTATCGTCCAGAGCTTGAACCTGTATTAAAAGGTATTAATTTAAAAATTGAACCACGCAATAAAATTGGTATTATTGGACGTACAGGTGCTGGTAAATCGTCTATTTTTCAAGCACTCTACCGATTCACTGATAAATCAATAACACATGGCAAAATATTAATTGATGGAATTGACATTAGTAAAATTAGTTTAAATGATTTACGATCAAATTTAAATATTATCCCGCAATCTCCCATCTTATTTAGTAATACATTGAGATATAATTTAGATCCATTCAATCATTATACGGATGAGCAATTATGGGATGTCTTAGAAGCAGTTCAATTAAAAAGAAAGATTGAAAATTTAAAAGATAAACTAAGTACACAAATAGCAGAATATGGAAGTAATTTTAGTGTTGGTGAATGTCAATTAATCTGTGTAGCAAGAGCAATTCTAAAACCAAGTAAAATCTTACTAATCGATGAAGCAACAGCACATGTTGATACAAAAACTGATGAATTAATTCAAAAAATTTTACGCGAAAAATTTATGAATCATACTGTTTTAACCATTGCCCATCGTCTGCATACAGTAATTGATAGTGATAAAATTGTTATTATGAATGATGGTATCGTTGCAAAATATGGTACACCACAAGAATTACTTAATGAGAAAAATGAAATACTTACTGACATGAATAATGATAATGAGCCAGTTACTTATCTATAATCAAATATGTATTAGAGCAGTTTCTAATAAACCAAAAATATCAAGTTCACATTTTCTTGAACAACTTTTTATCATCTAAAATATAATGTAGAACATTTTTTTATAAAGGAGAAAAGCATGAATGAATGACATTTGAAGTTTAACAAGAGTCGATAACTATCTTAGTCAAAACTAAAATTCACATTAGACTACTTTTGTTTGACGGGATCCGAAATACCATTATGCTGTCGATTCCAATAATAAATCACATATTAGATGAATCGTCTATCCTTATGAGCCAGTTTGGTTAATCGAACGGAGTAAACACTCTATAGGATAAGTACTCATACAATCATAAAAGATAGCTAACACTGTGAACAAAAGTATTGTCTGTATTGTAACGATAATTTAACACAGCATGATATGAATTATAACAGGTACATTGGCAAAGGATCTCTGAACTGAGTGTTGTACAGATGGTGGGTGTGGGTGTAGGTGTGGGTATGTGGGTGTGGGTGTGCGGGTGTGCGTGTGGGTATGAATGTGGGTGGGGTGTGGGTGTGTGGGTGTGGGTGTGGATGTGGGTGTGGGTATGGGTGCGGGTGTGGGCGTGGTGTGGGTGAGAATGAAGAGAGGAACCACACCCACACCCACCCACACCCCTAGATGGCTAGTATTAAGTGAGTTCGAGTTTATAACTTTTGACCATTCAGAGAGAAGAGCTTCAGCTATGCTCCGTCAGCGGGCAATACCAAGAATACTGAGCACGAAATTTCGAATTGCCATTCATTCACTAGAAATCCGTCAGTCTGAAAGGTCGATCGACTCATTTCACACAGTCCATCTCATCTCTAAACAAGTCGTCCAGAAATGGATGTATTTACATACTTTTACTTTGTTCAAAGAAGTAGCAAAGATTTATAAAACTGTTATGTACTGCGTAAATGTCTCGAACTCCTCTGTATACATATGTTGCATTCTATTCTCATACGTCAAAAGTCAAATAAAAAATTCATTTCAAGACGGACAAGACTTTTGTCATCGACTAAATGAAACAATAAAAAAAATTAAAACTTAACTTATTACTCGACTAGTTTTAACTTCCAAATTGATGTGGCACACTGTACATGTTTAGACTTTGTTAAAAGACAACATAATCGGAATGAATGACACTCCGAGAGCACATTTTTGAAGAAGATTAGTTATAATAGATCTACTATAAATAGGCAGCTTGATAACAAATGATAGGAGAGGAGAATAAACTTGAATAATTAAAAGTGAATCAAATGCCTTACTTTCATGTTAGTTTCATGAACATTTTTCATTCATTTCTAAAGTAATTAATTTAAATCCCCGTATAAAGTAAAAATATAGATAGATCTCATCAAAAATCCATCTAAACAAACGCAAATAATGTTTGATAACGAAAAACAAAAAGTGGCTAGAATTTTTAAAATAGATAATACTATTCCTTGTAGATTATGATGAGACTTTGAATTGTATTAAGCAAGCATCATAGTAAATTATAATATAGCTTTTAGAAATTTTTATTCATGGGCAAAAGAACAGAGATTTTTTTCGAAAATGTTTGATATATTTATTAAATGATATTTTTTGTTATGCACTAGAAGAAGTCCGAAGAATATGGCACCGATGTGCATAATTTGAAGGACGATTTGGAAATCATGTTAAGATTTTGACAATTATTCTTGTGACATGAATAAATTTGAGAATGGCAAGAGTTCATTGATGATAAAATGAATATTTCTTGGATTTGTGTCCTTTTATACTTCACAAATCTATCATATTCGTGTCATGCATATGAAAAGAAAAACATTCAAGGAATTTATGAAGTGAAAATAACATTGATGTCCGTTTCTGGAACGAGGTCGGATTAGGAAAGAATCAACTAGTTCAAATCTGAGTTCTGTCCAACTTTCACATGAGAAAAGAGTTGTTGCTTTATTTTTCATCTGTTTGTTTCATTTGAAAGATAAATCCTTGATTAAACCTAATCTGTAAACTTTTTTGATACAAAATATGAAAGTATTATTTAAATCAATCGATGACTATATATATTTGTGATCTAGATAATTAGTTTCTTATTCACAGATATAAAATTATAGGTTCTTACTCTTATGAGTTTTATTATGAAATGTAAAAAAGTTTTCATTTGTTTTCGGAATGATTTTACGATTCTCGTTTCTCGAAAGTAACAAGAATGAACACAACTCGATGACACTCTAGTGTCGAGTCGATCCGTGATATAGATCTGTGTGAACTTAGATGATCTTCGATATGTGCCAAAAATCCGTTCGAAAGAGTCTGTCTTTTTTAGTCAACACTGGCTTTCAAATCGAAGAGAACTGATACTACACTATGACATTAATCTTAAAAACCGTAAAGCATTTGAACACATTCAAAAACAATATGCTCAGTTTTTTAACATTTCCATATTCATATTTTTCCACATGTTACCAAAATATACAGAACTCTTAATCTATAATGACGATGGACTGTGCACAAATGGATAGTTTTTGCTTATCTAACTTCTCCCATTTATAACAATTGTTTGTCTTTGTTTGTTTTTATTAAGCTCATTCTCTGATATTATTTTCTTTATAATCAATTTCTAAGAGAAGAAGCATTCTAAAAACTTTCAAAAAGTACTACTTGAATGATATGAATTGATAGCGATTAATTTGTTATTTTGAACTGAACATTCACAAATGCATTTATTTTTCTGTTAGTGATATGCATACGTGTTATCTGTAGAATAAATACTTGAACTTTAGTAGAAAAATGTTATACATATTGTCTTTGCATAGTTGCTCAACCTTAGTATAGTGAAGAAAAGGTATTAGATTTTATTTAGTGATGTAATGCCATTACAAGAGACAACTATTGAAAATACAACTACTTTTGTAAAGACCTGTTTCACTGGATTTTAGATTCATCTTTTATTCAAACATTGAAAAAGCAATTTTAGGGACGTTGCTGTCAACGAGTTGATTAAGCGTAAAACTACAAGTAATACTTCTTTTTATTCAAAACTTGCTAAGGTAGACTAGATTTAAACAGATAGCATCTGCGAATCATCCAAATTTCTTGTTTAAAGTAGACTGTAATTAACATTGAAAATAATAATAATTATCACAGTTGCTATGAGAATTAAGTGCAGTTTGGAATGCTAGTATTACTTCTAAGAAATTCTCTTAGAAATGACAACTAGAATAGGAATAGTCGTATGCAGAAGATGAACTTGATGACCTAGCGAGGAGTTCAAATAATAAGGATGTATCAAACACAAAGCAAATACAAAAATTCTAGTTTTTTTTTTGTTGCTTTCTGTTGATGATATTATAAACAACAAATAATTGCTCTCGTATATATATTTTAGTTGCTGTTACATAGAAACAGATAATGATTGTGTTACTTTTGCAGATTCAGTATAGAGTTCTTCCTCTATTTTCGCCAGTTTAAGTCATTTTTTTTTTGTTTGATAAAATTTACCGTCTTTTTCGTTGCTGTTTTGATAATATACAATATATATAGTAATATCAGAAGAAAGAAAAAGTGAAATAGTTTATTATATGGAAAGGTCCAATCGAAAGTACACCAAGAATAATTTGTGAATCATATCCTATTGACTATGCTACTATTTAATCATGCAGTAATTTCCTACTGATATAAATAAATACTTTAGAAAAAAAAAGAACGTTTTTTTTTCAAATACTTTCATCACTCATTTAATGTATTCATATTCGTGCAATAAAATAACTACATCCAAAATTTCATCAAATATTCAATAACTGTGTCCTAGAAATAAAATAAAATATTGTTGAAATGTATGCAGTATTCAATAAGAAAAAACTATGATGAAATTATTATTGTTCATATATAACTTAGTAATCTGACATTGATTCTTATTGTCGCCTTG